AAAAAAAAAATCTTGATAACCTTTTAAGATAACATCTTTAGAAGATATTATCCATGTGATGAATAGTTTGAAATTTTATTTTTCAACTAAAACTCTATTTTTTCAAAAACAGAAGAATGTTTAAAAAGAAATAGTTGTTATGATACAATAAAACTACTATACATACAATAAATGCATCACTGTATGCATTTAAAGCACTGCAGTTGCCATAGAAAAGCACTTTAGTTCAAAAATTCTCTACCTTGCATTGTTTCCCTCGTATAATGATCAAAGAAGCAAGTTGTTGTTTGTAAAAGATAAGTCACCTGATTTTTCATTTTTCAAGAGCCTGCAAACCAATTGGGAAAAAGTTAACAACTCAAGTAGAGGAACTTTTGCTCCACTTAAAGTTCAAGATCAAATACTGAAAATAAAGAAGAATGATCAGAGCAGTTTTGTTCTGGATCTCAAACAATCAAAAGTAATTACTTTGAGCTTCGCAAAATAACAGCATTTTAATTGGAGAAAACTTTTCAGCTGGATTTGCAAGCAAACATTTGAGCTCTATCAAACAGTACTTTGGCTTCCTTTGTTTCACTGTATCTTGGACCCTTTCTTTGACTTTTAGAAATTAATGAGAGAGGAATTGCAATGATCACAAACTATGCAAAGGTTCTCACATATGATGACAGTAAAAACAACAATAGATTTTGCAGCTTGTGAACAACATTTGTGTGGCGATTTCACAAAACAAACAATATTTAAGTAATGATATTTTCCTCCATGAATTATTAAAATAAAAAAATTATATTAGGAATTTACTTGAATTACATTTACTTACGCATTATTTTTACTTTGTATTACATTTGTAATATTTGTAGTATTAAATTTGTGTTATATATATATATATATATATATATATATATATATATATATATATATATATATATATATTTAACACAAATTTATATGATGTATATATGTATATATTTATATATATATATATATATTTATATATATATATATATTTATATATATATATATATAAATTTGTGTTATATATATATATATGTATATATATATATATATATATATATATATATATATATATATATATATATATATATTTATATACATTTATACATTTATGTATATGCGTATATATATATATATATATTATACATATATATATATATTATATATATATATATATATATATACACATATACATAAATGTATAAATGTATATATATATATATATATATATATATATATATATATATATATATATATATATATATATATATATATATATATATATATAAGTTTTTACTCTCTTTTGAAATATATATATATATATATATATATATATATATATATATATATATATATATATATATATATATATATATATATATATATATATATATATATATATATATATATATATATATATATATATATATATATATATATATATATTTCAAAAGAGAGTAAAAACTTGATAATTTAAAATGTTGTTAATTTTTATAAAACTTTTACCATAAAAAATTCGGTCATTGTCACCTAAATGTTTTGATTTAAATAGAACCTAAAATAAATTTTTTTGATTTATAGAACCTTGCAATTGTTGTTAATGATTGGAAGAAGCAAGAAGAAGAGAGAATCGATGCCATTTTTAAATTAACTCGTGAGAAGGAGATACTTTTATCAAGTCAACAAAAGCAAGATCAAGTAAAAACAAATTTTGCAATTGTAGAACAGTTTTATTATTTTTTAATTAACATCATTATTTAAAAATTCTCTCCCTTAATCAAGTCATTTCAAAATGTGCAGTAGTTGATGCAAAATTTAATTAAAAATTATTACGAATAACTATGTATAATAAATATGTGTTAATAAAAACTGATTTTTTATTTATTAGAAATTCATTTTTGTTTTCACATTAGCAAACTATTTAATCAATGTAAGAATATGCTGTCAGATGCTCCATTATTGCTGAGATAACTCCATTATTGCTGTCAGCTCCATTATTCTCAGAAGTTAGGCTCTAGAAACTTTTGAAAAATCTTCAACTGTTGTTAACAAGGGTAGGTCTAACATTCCATATCTCATTCATGGAACTGATCTAATTACCTCTCCTAAGGCTGAACTATTTGCAAAGAACTTTTTTAATTCAACTCTCGAATTTTATGGCCATTCTCTTCCTTTCATTCCAATTAAACAGGTTAACCCATTGTGTGAAATTCAAATCACTCAAGCTTTTGTTGCCAAAATTGTATCTCAATTAAATTCTTCTACAGTTTGTGGTCCAGGCAACATTCCTGTCACAGTCTTATGAAATTGTTCTCCAGAACTTTTTTCAGTTCTCTCTAAACTACTTAATAAGTGCTTGACTGAGTCTTGTTTTTCTGCCTGCTGGAAAATGGCATCTGTTGTTGCAATTTTCAAAAACTCTGATTAACATTCTAACACCTCTAATTAACATCCGATCAGTCTTCTTTCTGTTATTAGCAAGGTTTTTGAGTCTTTGATAAAATTTCTCATATCCCATCTTGAGTCAAATAACTTGTCAGACAATCAATACAGTTTTTGATCCTCACTCTCTATGGCTGACTTACTAGTTGCTGTGATTGAAAGATTTTATTGTGCATTTGATGGAAGTGGAGAGGCTAGGGTTAAACTTCTGGGGTAACTCAAGGTTCTATCCAGGTCCTGTTTTGTTTCATATCTACCTTAATGATCTTCCCGACAACCTTACATCTAAAGTAGCTCTTTTTGCTATCTGTCTTGACAAAAAGTATTTTCTAAACTTTTTACGTCTTCATGGACGTTTACTACTATCTTTACTTACTATCTGCTAAAATTGCTTCTTTTTATCGTGCTAGCCATTTTCTCTCTATGGATTCCAATCTCAACCTCAACAAATCTTTTATTCATCGCTGTATAGAATACTGTTATCATATTTGGGCTGGTTCTTCTAATGATGCTCTTTCTTTTCTAGACAAGGTCTAAAAATGCAGTTCAAATGTAGTTGGGTCTGCTCAATCTGATAAACTTGATATGATACCTCTTTCTCATTGTCATAAAGCATCTCTTACACTTTACTTCAAATACTATCATGGTCGCTGCTTAAAGAAGTTATCTTCCCTAATTCCATCAACTAGAATTCAAAATCGCTTGACTTGTCATTCAGCAAAGTCTCATTCTTTTCTGTATCTTTCCCAGCATGCTTCAAAAACTTTTATTCGTCTAGTTTTTTTCCTTGCACTTTAACCCTTTAGAACTCTCTCCCATCTTCCTATTTTCCTGACTCATATAACCTTCAATTTTTAGAGTCTTTTGTCAACCGTTTCCTTGCTCTATAACTCTATTCTTTTTTTCTACTAATTTCCAACTTGATAGTGGTTGCTTGCAGCCTTGTTGGAAGTGAATCTCAATTTAAAAAATCTTTTTAGTGAATTCTAAATATATTAAACTAATATTGTAATTCAATATTATTAAATTTATACAGAGTTGTTGCACATTTTACAATTGAACAGTGTAAGGTGAGTTTACTGAATTCTGTTTAACAAAATATTTTGATTATATAAAAAAATTAACTAAAGTAGTGTTTTGCAACCACTGGCTTGCAAAACACTGAATAGCTACATGTAGCTTGTGAGCCTACTAGCCTCTGGCTTGTAAGCTACATACACCTATTCAGTCGCCTATAAATGCACTTTTGCCACACTTTTTTATCCTTTAGACATTTCAAATTAAGAATTGGTTAATGTAAAGAAAAGTTTTTTTTTTTTTGTTTCTTATAATTTTATTTACTGAAAGTTTTAACCTGCATAATATTTATATTTAAAATTATTTCTTTGTTTTCTTTTTTTTTCATTAAGACTAAAGTAGAAATATTTCTGTATTAAGCATCCTATACATTTTAATTATTGCAAATTTAAGTTACATTTAAAATGAGATTATTCTCAGAGGCAGGTAACATTTTCGATGAAAAAAGAGTTAGTTTGTTGCCCAAAACTGGATAGCAACTCTTTTTGCACCACAATATTCCTAAACTTCTAAAAATCCTTACATAATTGATTACTGCAAATTTGGTTTGTTACAAATTTTGTATTTTTTACCTAGGCTTCCCTATAGTTCTTCATTGACCTGTAGGACAATGATTTTTTTATTTAATTTACACAGTCTGTGTCACATGTCTTGAAAAAAAAGGTAAAAATAAATTCCGGCATTCCGGCCTGAAATATTGTAAATTAGGTTGGAACCGGAATGACCTAAAAGTCACAGATTCTTTCTGTAATTCCTGCCAGAATTCCTGTACATCTCTACAAATAACATATAAAAACACGAAATAACATCCATTTGTTATTTGTTATTTTTTTTAAATTAAGAAGTTTTTGTTTAGGATAATTAGTCATTTGGATGGTTTGTCAGGTGACTAAAAAATGTTTTGACATGAAAATATTTTAGAAATCTCTTAAAAAATATCACTATGATTGTTTATTTTTTATGTATTAATATGTAGTGTTTACTTTTCTTTTCAAATTTTACAGATGTTAAAAAGGTTTGAAAAGGATCTTGCAGATGCTTTACAAGCTTACTCAAATGAACAAGAAAAAATTCAAGAACTTAATTCTCATCACAAGAGTCAGGTTTTTATTTTTCAAATAATAATGTAAAAAATTTTTTTTATAAATAAATTTTTTTAATTTTATTTGATCATTTAGTTGAAAGTAAAGCAAGGTTTAATTTTGCAAGTTTTGCACTTGATTGCTTAGTGTGACACATAATTGTGAGTGTGACATGTGATTGCTTAGTGCAGCGTGCAAAATAAATAGTTATTTTTATTTTTTCAAATTAGGTAATGTTTCTAAACATGTCTATTCTGAGCAAAATAGTTTCTGTGTTTTTGTTTTATCAAACAAAAATGCAGAAACACGGTTTTGCTACCTCAATGTTTTCAAATCAAAATAGTTTCTGTGTTTTTGTTTGATTGTTTAATAACAATGTTGTTTTTTTCACGAGTTTTTTTTTTTTTAATTTATAAATAATTTCGTTTTGGTATTGTTAATTGATATTGACACAATTGTAAGATTTTCATAAGTAAGGCAGATAGGTGAGGCAGTTGGACAGTCAGAAATCCAGTGGTTGTTTTTTTTGTGCAAACAATTAAGACACTGATTTCATGTTTTTATTAAAATTTACTTATGTTAAAGCCTGCACTGTTGATATGTCGATGGCATGGTGCACAGATGTGGTAAGTGCAAGATTAGAAACTGTAAAAACTGTCATTTGCGCGCGTAATAATAATAATAAGAGTTTTTGTATTTACCACATATTGTCAATTAGTAGTCTTTATTGTTTATCGTACACATAACATTTATGCACGATAAACTATAAATAAAAACATGTTTTTCTGCGTACTTATCTTAATTTGACCAAAATTTGTACTTACCATATCTGTGCACTATGCCATCGATATATATATATATATATATGTATATATATATATATATATAATATATATATATATATATATATATATATATATATATATATATATATATATGTATATGTGTGTGTGTGTATATATATACCGTTATTTTGTTTTAGTACTGAAAAAGGTACAAATAATTTGTTAGCAAATATTAAAGTAGATAAAATGAATTTGTTAAAATAAGCTTTAAGATGGGTCCAGTAATAAAAATCTTAATTGTTTTCTTTGAAACATCCAAAGTCATAAATAAAACATGTTTTCTTTCATATTTCAATGTTATAGCTTTTATTTAATTTATCAGGTTGTTTTTTTTTTTTTTTGAATAAATTACAATAAGAAATATAATAATTTGCACTAATTGTTCTAAGTGATTCTAACTTCTGAGTGATTGTCCAAGCTCTTAACTGATTTTAAATATTGAAATGAAATATATAAAAAATTTCTTTAAATTATAAATTAAAATATTCATTATAATTATTCATTTTAAAAACCTATCATATTTAAAAGTAGTTATAAAATAAAAAGGTATAATAATATGATAAAAATATTTTTGTGATCAAGTTTTAAAGTTAGTGTCCAAGTCTTGAAGGTTTTAGATATATATAGCAACAATCAAGTGTTAACTTTAAAAGTTATAAAGTATAATGTATAAAGTTCAAAATCAATTTATTAGGATTCAAAGCAGAACAAAAACAGCAAAGATTTTTAGTTGTTATTTAGAAGGACTTAAATTTGTTATTCTGTAAAAAACATATAAGTTTTTATTTTTATAATTTAATAATACCTAAAGTCTGGAGATAAAGTTTGAAATTTTTCTCTTTAATTTCATCATTAATTTAGAAATATTTGTTTACAGTTAAAATTTGCTGGTTTAATAAAGTTTTGCTATTTCAATGTTTTCAAATTAGTTGTTTATGATCTTTTATATTATTAAATTTTTTTCAGATCGACTTTCTTGAAAAAGAAAAGTTTACTATAAGTAAACACTTTGCTGATTTGCAAACTTCTAATTTAAATCTAAAGGAAATAAACGAAAAAAATGAAAAAGTTATATCAGAATTTGAAAATAAACAGCATGTTCAAAAAATGGTAAGTTACTTAGTTAAACCTGCTATTTATTATACAACTTATCAAATATACATAATCTATGTATGCATAAACATTATATGTTTGTCTGTGTGTGTATGTGTGTATATATATACATATATATATATATATATATATATATATATATATATATATATACATATATATATATATATATATATATATATATATATATATATATATATATATATATATATATATATATATATATATATATATATATATATATATATATACGTCTGTGTGTGTATGTGTATATATATATATATATATATATATATATATATATATATATATATATATATATACATGTATACATATATATATGTATAGTTATGCCGACCTCAATCTTTTAGAGGTGGGCATCAGATAGGCAAAAATTATTTGATACAAAGGTCTTACTATAAAATATAGAAACGAGGTCGGCAAACACTTTCAGGTCAGCATTGCCGAATGCCGACCCTAATTCCAAGGGTTATATTTTAAGGTGGAAAGAATAGTCTCAATCTGGGGGGAGAGGGTGCATACTGATTGCTATTAGCATCCTATACAAGTGTCTATATTATAGCAAATCTGTCATTGTCACATGTTAAACCATAAAGGTAATACAGCAAGTATAAAACATAGAGATAATAAAAATATGATAAAATGCTGAAAATGTGAGGAAGTAATACATGGGTAAGGTGTTAATAAGTGAATATTGGTATTTTTTTATTGAGTCTTAATTAATTGCTCCCCATTCTTTTTTTGTATAAATTAATTGTTCCCCATTCTTTTTTTGTTTTGTTTTTTGTCTACCGTATAGTATTCAATATGGTACTGAATTTGATTTCTATTATCAGTTGAGACAGATTTTGTATTAATGTATTTAGCATTAATTGGCTCTTTAGGTTTGTTTATTGGGTATACTTATATATGCCTATATATACTAATGTTTATTGGGTTATATATACTTACTTCAAAATTTTTTACATAACAAAAGTATCTTTAACATAGAACATAGATGACGCTTGCTTAACATTTCTTCCGGTGTTTTTGGAAACTTAAGTACAATAAAATTTTAACCTTCTTTTTAAGATATATTTATTTAAAATACAAAAGAGGACACAGAAAACAGGTCATGGAATCTAGTTATGTCAAATAAGTTAGCTTTTTCTGTTTCACATCTTTTTAAGAAACTTTCCTGTAATAAACTCTAAACAAAATCATTAAATTAAGAATCATTTAATTAACAAATTATTAAATGATTATAGGTTGGCAAATTATTTAACAATTATAACACAAATACTTAATGCAAATGGAAACCATTTAGATTGTAATCACCAAGTTGATAAAAGTATAAATGGTTTCCATTCATATAAAAGTATAGCGGAAATATAAAAAAACAAAGCAAAAAGGGACAATATATCCTTACAAAATAATGATTCCAAGAAAGAAAATATACAATGCGAGAAACGAAAAAAATTTTTCTTGAGATAAAATTAATAAATTTTGAAAAAATAAAAATATTCAACAGAAGTATCAGAAGAACTTTATGAAAGCAATTTCAATTATCGTTTCATTATTTTATTTATTTATTTTACTCAAAAAAGTGACTAAATAGATAACAATAAGAAACTTTGTGAGATGTTCTCATCTTTTTTCTCATGTTGTGAGAATTCTTTTTTTTTTTGCAAGGTCATCGCAGATGGCGGTCATGTTTTTTTAACCGTTGAAAAGGAAAAGGGAAATAAAGGAAGGCAATTAAAAACTGAATTAATTACCAATTGTTTCAAATAAAGAAAAAATATCAAAATAAAAGAAAAGTAAAACAAAAAAACATATAAAAAAAGAAACTTTTAACAAATAAACACTCAAAAACAACATTTAAAAAAAAACAAATAAAAGAAAATTCGAATATCGATTTTTACTTTTAATGCGGTAGTGGTGTAGTGATAAACCGCTCGCTTCATAAGCGAGAGGTTCCAAGTTCGATTCCCACCACGCCCCTGGTAGTACTGCGCCCAACTCGTTTCTCCGCGCAACGGCCTTGTTCGTCAAGGATCGTGTTTCCGAGTTATAGAGTTGAGAGAGGGTTATATAACCACAAATAAGTAGCCTCCTCATCTGTAGTGGCCTTCTCGGCCTTGAGGAGGTGAATTAACAAAAAAAAAAAAAAAAAAAAAACTTAACAAAAAAAGAAAAAGAAAAGAAAAGAAAAATAGTTAAATAAAATGAGATAAGTTGATAAATTAATAAGAAGATCAGAAGAGAAGATCAGTTTCTTAAAAGAGTTTAAAAAATATAAAACTATAAAAAATTTTTATAGTTTTTATTTGTATCTATTATTTTTTATCTTATTTTAAATATTACGCTATTATTTTTATTTATATTACTACAATTTATTATTAGATTACTTATTTTGATATATAATATTTAATATTTATTTTTATTATAGTTATCATATTTTTTAATTTACATTTGTCTTAACTTTAATTAGTTTTTTCACTCTTTTAGTCTGATTTTATAATTTTCTTCAAAATTTTTGTTTTTGTTATAGTTTACTGTTTGTTTGGCTGTTTTGTTATTGTTTAATTAACATTAATATTATTTAATATAATTGTTAGTTTTTCGATACTTTAATTGGTTGTTTTTAATTATCTATTCATACGCATTATTTTATTTTAACAAATATTAATAACATAGCTATTCACTTCCTACTTATTGTTTCTTACATTATCTCTAATATTGCAGTTCCACTCTGGCTTTAAACTGTCATTTGTGTAAAAAATTAATTAGTCAAAGTTGCCACTCATCTCAATGTAATATTTGTTTATTTTGGTCTCATACAAAATATGACAGGCTTAATGATACTAAGTACAGTTTACTTCAATCAAGTCGCTCGTTGCGGGGTTGTTTAAACTGTATTAAAAGTATCTTTCCATGCACAGATGTACAAGATAATGAGTTTAAATTGCTGTTTTCTTTTGATATAATTCTTAAAACTGATGGTTTACCTCTGTCTACAAACCTTTTCCTGTCTTTTCATTTAAACAAAGTCTCAAATCAAATTAATAATTGTTTTATCTCATGTTTTAGATTCTGAGGAAGAAATTTCTTCTTCATTAGAGATATTTTGTAAATATTATGACATAAGCGAGTTATGTACACTTAGTTTTAATAAAATAAGCTCTCTCTCCTTTTTTCATCTAAACATATCATCGTTACAAAAACACTTTGCGAATTTAAACATAATATTATCATTAATTAATTTTGATTTTTCCATAATTGGTATAACTGAAACAAGGTTAAAAAAAGGAACATCCTGAATTCATCTGATTTTCATTGATAATTACAACATTGAGCAGACACCAACGGAATCCTCTTGTGGCGGTACTTTATTATATTTATCAAAAAAACTAATATACAAACGAAGAGATGATTTATTGATTTATACACCTAATTGTTTAGAATCCACATTTGTTGAAGTTATTTTTCTAAAAAGTCTAATATTATTGTTGATTGCATTTATAGACATCCTTGCATGGATATTAATATTTTTAATAATATCATGTCTGTCTTACTTCAAAAAATATCTGCTGAAAATAAATCTGTTTTCTTACTTGGTGATTATAATATTGATCTGATGCAATCAAATAATGACATTGCGACATCTGATTTTTTAAACTTATTTTTTTTTAATAATATTCGCCCTTTTATTACTTTGCCGGCTAGAATTACTGATCACTCTGCTACAATTATTGATAATATTTTCTCTAGTTTAATAGCTAATGAAATTGTTTCAGGAAATTGGACAACTTCTATTTCTGATCACTTACCTCAATTTTGTATTTCTCCCAATTTCAATAAATTATTTATACCACGCAGACACAATTTATATAGCAGGAGTTTTAAAAACTTTAATAAAGAAAACTTTAAATCTGATTTATCAAAAATTGACTGGGACGATATTACAAAGTCCACTGATACTAACACATGTTTCCAAACGTTTATTACTGAAACAACATTGATTTTAGATCGTTACGCCCCACTTAAAAAAATCAGTATAAAAAACTTCAAATGTCGATTCAAGCCATGGATTACAAAAGGAATTATAAAATCTATTCGAGTGTGCAATCTTTTCCAAAAAAAAATGTTAAGATCTAAAGATCTTATTAATAAAAAAAAATTTGAAAGTATTTTTAAAAGATATAAATACATGATAGTTATTTTGTAAAAAAAAAATTAAAAAAATTTTTCTCAGAAAATATAAAAAATCTTTGCAAACTTTGGAAAGGTATTAACACTCTAATTAATGTAAAAAATTTGAATAAATCGTCTCCTAACTGTTTACAAGAAAATGATACATATATAACTGACCCGACTTTAATCTCTGAATCATTTAACACTTTTTTTACAAATGTTGCTCATAAACTCAAATCCAATATTCATTCATCTTACATTAACTATCAAAAATATCTTAAACATCCAAATTTACATAGTTTATTATTATCTCCAACAAGTATTTCTGAAATTTCATCTCTTATATCTAAATTGAATCCAAAAACATCATTAGGTCCAAACAGTATTCCCACAAATATTCTTATAGATTTTAACTACGATTTTTCAAATATTCTTTCTAAACTATTTAATATCTCATTTATAAATGGAAAATTTCCTGATGTTTTGAAATTATCTTGCATTATTCCAATATTTAAAAATGGCTCTAAACTTTCATGCACTAACTACAGACCTATTTCTCTTTTATCTAATATTAGTAAGCTTCTTAAAAAACTTATGTTTTCTAGAGTATATTCTTTTTTAAACTCATTTAATTGTTTAAATGATTTTCAATTTGGTTTTCGATCAAAACATTCTACTTGCCATGCATTAATAAGTATAACGGAAAAAATCAGGAAAGCTCTTGATACTAGTCATTTCGTTAGTGGTGTTTTTATCGATTTACAAAGATTTCTAAATTAAAGCATTATGGAATTCGCGGTATTGTAAATGACTGGTTTCGATCTTATCTTGCAGATCGAAAACAATTTGTAAGTATTAATGGTTTCAATTCTAGTTATAAATCAGTTTTGTGTGGTGTTTCTCAAGGTTTTGTTCTAGGTCCTCTTTTTTTTTTCATCTACATTAACGACCTAATTAACTCTGTTCGCTTCTCTTCAGTCCATCTGTTTGCTGATGATACAAATCTCTTGCACATCAACAAATTGTATCATTCTTTATGTAAAAATGTTAATTCGCATCTAAAAGGTATAGTTCACTGGTTAAATGCTAACCTAATATGTCTCAACACCGAAAAAACTGAACTAATTTTTTTTTCATCAAGAAAAAACAATTTCTTTAAAAATGTTGAAATCAAAATCAAAATTAATAATAAACGGCGTCTAAAAAACTCCTTCAAGAGTTATTAAATATCTTGGTGTATTAATTGATTGTAATCTTTCATGGAACTTTCATATTAATGAACTAAGCAAGAATCTCGAGCTAACAGTATGTTTTCAATAATTCGTCATTATGTCAATAAAGTTACACTTAGGAGTATTTACTATGCATTATTCTCATCTCTTCTTAGCTATTGTTGTCAAGTTTGGGGTCAAGTTGGAAACTATCGCATTAACAAGTTGCTATCGTCTCAGCGTCAATCCATCAGAATAATAAACTTCCAACCAATTAAATCAGGTACATCAAAGTCCTTCAAAAATCTTTTCATTCCAACATTTCCAGCGCTAGTAAAGTATGCTAATCTTCTTTTTGTTTTTGACTCCTTAAATAAAAGTATACCATCTCCTATCACAAGGTTTGTTCACAGTGAACGTTACTTGTTCACAGGTAACGTTCTATTGTTTATCAGTATGTCTGTGAATGGAACAGGAGCCTTGCATGCATTTTGAATAAGTCTAAAAAAATATATCCTAAAATACCTTTACTCCATCTTAAACAATATCAATTTAAAAAAATTCTAAAAAACATTTTATTCTAACTTTTTGGCATTATTATCCTTATGATTTAAATATTGTTTTAGTTTTCTTTTCATAATTATTATAATTATCATCAGCACTTTTTTTTTATTTTTTTTTTATTAGTAAAACCTCCAAATTGATTTCTACATGTTTGTTTTGATGTATATTTTGTGCTTTGGTTTGTGTGTTTACGGTCCGTGTGTTTCAGTGTGTGTCTTTGCTTATTATTACTAATATTATATTAAAAATTGGTGTCACTCCTTTGATCAGATTTCTGTATGAGTGACACCATCCTAATAAATCATTAACTTATTATTATATTAATATTAGTTATTATTACTATTTTTTTATTGTAATTATTGTAAACATACTTATTATTACTATTACTATAATTTGTATAATTATTATTTTTATCTTATGTTAATATTATATATTTTTGCTATTATTACTATTATTATTATCATTATTATCATTATTATCAAAACTATGTAAAATGATTTACGGAAAATAAATAGCTTGTTGTTGTTGTTGTTGTTGTTGTTGTTGTTGTTTTTGTTGTTGTTCTAACATTTCACAAATAAGAAACTTTGTGAGATGTTCTAACATCTAACATATAAGAAACTTTGTGAGATGTTCTAACATCTCACAAATAAGAAACGTTGTGTTTTTTGTTTGTTAGATGTCTTAGATGTAGGTTTGTCTTAGATATTTTTTTTCATTTGTACTTTTTCGAAAGTTTTAAGATTTATTTTTGCAAGTTTGGATTATAAATTTTTATAGAAAAAGCAGGGCTAAAAAAAATATTTACAATAAGATAAACTTTTATGTTTTTTTTTAAAAACTGAATCCTTAGCTTTTAGTGAATGACTAGATGTAGTCAGTTTCAGTAATGAAACTACCTAATAAACATTTTTAACAATAGATAATAGCAAGAAGGTAAGCCAAGTCGTCTATCAACACAAATCATCACAACAATGACATCACAAAGATTAACTATTTGCATAACATATTATAGTAAACTCAAACCTCCAAAGGACCAAGAAATTAGCTTGTTAGAGAATGTTAGAGTTATTATGAATATATCCTATAAATAAAGGCTCAACTGGAATTCAAAATTAGTTAAAGTCATTAAGGTTTATTCAGTTATCTAGATTTTATTGTGCATATTATAACTACTAACAGCATAGCATACTTGTAAGTACATATTTCATTGCATAACATATTTGCTATAACATATTTGCGATTTTGCTGGCAAGGACAACATTCTTACTCTCATCAAACCCAAGTCGCATATCAAAGTACACTGCTTGGCTAGCAAGGACAACACTCTTGCTGTAAACTAAGCCAAGTGACAACACTTTAAAACCATGAAAACAAAATAATAACCACTTACAAACTATAAACACGAAACATAACACATAACACACATAGAAACACTTTATATATAACAGGTATTTACACATTTATGACAAAATATAAACCCATATAACCTTAACACATAATAAATAACATTCATCATATCATATGACACATAAAAGTACTTAAATATACAAATTAGGAAGAGTTTATAAATTAAGAACATTTACATATACAACCTTATTTGTGTAATATTTGTTTAATGGCATACCTCGAATGCATGTACATCAACTTTAAAAAACAAACAATCAAACAACTGTTTATTGTATTATAAACAGGTTTTTAGTAACAACAACTGTTTTTCAGTCACAAAATTGGTTTTGTTAATTAGTTTGTAAAAAAAGTGGTGTTTAATAGTAAAACACTAATTGTTTATAGATAAGTACATTTTTAAATACAACATTGTTTATGTAGCATTTGTTAAATAACATTTGTTAAATAAGACGTTGTAATGAATGTTCAACAATTTTAAAAAAGCAACTATTAAACTACATTGTTCTTAAACTGCAACATAGAGTTAACCAAGTGAGAGGCAAAGGTTTTTGAGATAAACACCAACTTTATCAAAAGTTTCACCTTTATCAGTTTAACCTTTGAAAAGAACATCAACTTCAAGTTCTTAAAAATAAAAACACAAGTTAATATATTTTAAATACAATTGACAAATAACTAGAATTGTGTTACTATTAAAATAAATTAAATAAATTACCTGACTTTAAAAGTTACTCTCAGGGCTGTGGAGTTGGAGTCGGAGTTGCGACATTTTTAGTGTAGTCAGTGTCGGAGTTGCTAAATAAAATCGCGACTCTGACTCCAATAGTAAAATTGTATTACATGGGTAAAATTGAAATTTTGAAAAATTCTTTGAATTCTTAAAAAAATTTACACGATAAGTTAAAAATTTCTTTTTTAACTACTTTAAGAAATGATCTTTAATGTTTAGTATGAACATAAGGTTAATTGAATGTTTTGTATATGTACATGTAACATGGGAAATTTTACATGTAATACCGGGTATTACATGTAAAATTTCCCGGTATTACATGTACATATACAAAACATTCAATTAACCTTATGTTCATACTAAACATTAAAGATCATTTCTTAAAGTAGTTAAAAAAGAAATTTTTAACTTATCGTGTAAATTTTTTTAAGAATTCAAAGAATTTTTCAAAATTTTTGGACTTGGAGTTGTGCTCAAAAAATTTCAACAACTGGAGTCAGAGTCGGAGTCGTTACTTTTTTTTTATGACTCCACACCCCTGGTTACTCTACTAATTTAAAAATTATATAAGGTTAATCTATTACAACATAATTTATGATTGTATTAAATTAGTATCTAATATAAAGGTTTAAGATCTTATAACTGATTAAACAGATATTAACAGATTATAATAAAGATAATAAAAATTTAAGAAACGCATGGTCAAAAACAAGTATTAAATATTATAAAGCTAAGCATGATATATCTTTATTAAAAAACTCTGTGTCAAGACATGCACAAATGAGTAACAGCAGCATTAAAATAACTGTTAAGGGTCAGTGTTGAAGTACCTAATGGTGTTTAAAAGATATCAAAACAAATCTCATTTATGTGAGTGACATTCATGTTTTTTGCCAATCAAATCAATTAGTTAATACATGATTTTGTTAATTTTTTCTTTTTCTTTGCTTAAACCAAGTATTAGAAATTTGAATATTAGGATGAAAACCAGTCATTATAATCAGGGGTGTGGATTCGTAAAAAAAAAGTAACGACTCCGACTCCAGTTGTTGAAATTTTTTGAGTACAACTCCGACTCCAACTCCAAAGCAAAATTTTTGAAAAATACTTTGAATTCTTTAAAAAATATTGCACAATAAATTGAAATTTTTTTTTTGACAAATTTATGCAACGTTCTTTGAGGTTTAGTATGAACATAAGGTTAATTGAATAATTCGTACATGCATGCGCAATACCAAGAAATATTACTAGCGGAGTCGGAGTTGCGATATTTTTTAGCGACTCCGACTCCGCTAAAATTGTCGCATCTCTGCAACTCCAACTCCACAGCCCTGATTATAATTAAAAAATAGTATTTATTATATTTTTTTATTTTCATGTTTGTTATATTCCCATTCTTCCTCCTACATTCCTTACCCTTTAAAAAAAATTTTTTTCTACATAGAACAAGTCTCACCACTACTCTGAATATCTATCCTTTTGGGTTCTTACTAAATGGTTCTGCTACAATCTGCTCCTACAATTACCCCTCCTATGCCAACTCCATTATTCATTTGCAATCACTGTGTTGCAAAAACATAAGTACTAACATTATATGTATTACATATAATGTAATATAATATGCTTTTTACATTTGCAATTGTTTTTAAAATTATATTTTTTTTTAACTGTAGGAAAAAGAAAGACTCGAAAAAGTAAATAATCATCTGAATGAGCAAATTAAATTAATATCTAAGAGTTATGAAGAGCAAATTGATTTAGTACAAGTCAGTTGTAGTTTTTCTTAATATTTTATTTTCTACTGAAGAAAAATAAAATTGATATATGTTAGTAGCAATTATTTTTTAAAATGTGCAATTTTGTGTTGAGGCAGACAGTGAGAGTTTTATTTTTTAATGAACTTATTAATCATAAAATTAATATTTATTGTAGTAATAGAACCCTCAGATTTAGGAAATCCAATTTATTATTGCTGACCTTAATCTGTTAGAGATCGGCATCAGGTCGGCAAAAAAAATTTGATACAAAGATTTTACCATAAAACATAGAAACAAGGTTGGTGATTTTTTGACGACCTCAAACACTTCTAGATCAGCAGTTAGGTCAGCATTGCTGAATACCGACCCTAATTTCAAGGGCTGAATAATAATAATTTAATAATAATATGAATTGTAGTATTATTTGAAATTAATCCTAAAGTAGTAATCATTAACCATTAATCATTAATATTTAATCACAACCTTTATGGTTATCTAAGACATAGAGTTAATATAGTTGTTTTTTATTTTTAGAAAGCTGTGGACGATGCTCAGAATGAATCACAAGTAATTTTTATTTTTTTTTATTTATTATTTATTCAAATTTATGCTTTTATATATATATATATATATATATATATATATTATATATATATATATATATATATATATATATATATATATATCTATATATCTATATATATATATATATATATATATATATATATATATATATATATATATATATATATATATATATATATATATATATATATATATATATATATATTTATATATATAAATATATCAGGGGGTATTTTAGACCGTTTTCGACAGCGTCGACAGTATTTTGGTGCTACCCAATTTAAAATTTGAGGACCTTTTTTTTTTATTTACGTTTTTATTAGGTTTTTATGGCAACTACTGTTTTTTTCGCAAAAAAAAATGCCAATTTTCCACAAGTCTAAAAATGAGAACTTTTCGAAATTCTAAAAATGAGGGGTACTGACGCCCAAATTTTTTTCCTACAATAGGCCTTATACATATATATATATAT